AGCGCAGCCCTGCTTCACGCACCTGGGCCTGCCCGAGCGTCCCCAGCTCCCGCCCCGCCTCCCTGGGGCTTTTTCCCAACAACTTCGGAGGAAAACCGCCTGCGAGTTGCTGCGGAAGAAGCTCCTCTCTGAGGGCTGGGAGGAGAGAGAAGAGGAGCGCGGCACTCACTGCCAGGGTCGCCCTCGTCCCAGCGCAGGGACGCGGTTTCAAGGAAACAAATGCACGTTTCAGTAGCGAGTGAATTCAAAAGCCGCATTTCGGCACTTGTCCCGATGGTGCAGAAAGTGACCTTGGGCTAAGTGTGGGACTTTCTGCCAAAGTGGTTAAACCAAAGACGGTCGCTAAAAATGGGGTCTAGCATAGAAAAAAAACCCTTGCCGACCTTACCTTGGGCTTCCAGGAGTTACTTCCATGCCCCCATCCACGTACACTTGCAGCGTTCCCACCGTCGGACAGTGATAAACTGGAATTGCCTTTTTAATGATAGATATTTTTAATGTGGAGTTAATTTATTTTCTGACGCCTGTAGTCATTTATAGTGTTGGCTTTATTCTTTTTTAGAGACTGACGGTCATCCTGTCTGAGGTCCAGAAAGCATTTGAGGTGGATGCTCTGAAGTTCTAAAGAATCTTTTTTTTTTTTTATCAAGCTTTTTCCTTAAAATAACCTGCTTGGCAAACTCCCCAGCACTAGCTGTACAGTGGTAGGAGCCCTAGTCTTTGGCTTTGCGTGCTCCATGTTGTTTAGCACGGCGAACAGGAGCTTCCTGTGAGACGGAAATGCTGATGGTCAGCAGTGCCGTGTCCTCAGTAGCATTCACTGTTCTAGCAAAATAAGGCGAGTGGTGACAGCATCTCCATGTGCCGGTCGCTGCAGTTACTCAAGCGAACGGCTGTAGTTAGGATTATGCATGTGAATTTGGCTGTCGGTAATAGGAATGAGCAGTTGTTCTTCCAAAATGAATACTTCACTGTCTCTCCTACTTCGATATTCACTTCAGATATAGTGTCCTGCATGGCCTACTCGTTTTATAATGTATTTATTATTTAGGTTTGTTTTCTGCCCCACTTGGGTTCAGGACGGCCTACAATCAATGATAAACAACCCATGGGTGAGAAACAATAGATGTCCTAAAATTTGAAACCTCCACCCCTGCTGCTGCTGCTTTCATGTTTAGTATCCATGGACATTTTTACACGTGCCGAATAAAGCGGCCCCATCCCCCACCCCCCACCCCCATCCCAAGCAAGCCGTGCTAATTAGAAGTGCCCAAGCATCATGTCAGCATCCCCCATGCTGAAAAATGGCGGCAGGGCACTTCGAGCTAAAAGCACTCCACCACCATTTTTCAGCGCGGAGACACATGCGCATGATGCTAGAGTCTGCTGGAGCGTGGTAATTTCTGCTCTCCAGCAGACTCGATTAATCCAGGATTTCCAGCACATCGGAGCCAGCTCCTTGCATATGTATAGGAGCCCAATGAGAGCAAACTCTCCAGTCCTAAGAGTAGCTGATTATTGAAAAAATGTTTTTTCTTCCCCACCTCCCTTAAATTACATGTAGCTGGCTTCTGTGTGAAGCTGCCAGGTTGTGGTACTAAATCCTGTCTAGATCAACTATCCACTATTAACCTTCCAACTAACTTAGTGTCCTGAAACTTAAAAGTCTGATATTTTTTTATAATTCTTTTCCTTTCAGGAATGATTAAACAAGTTACTTTTATATAAAAATTGCGTGCATGTGTGTATATGTATGTATGCACGTACTAGCTCTTTCTAAAGAACCATGACACTATAAAATCTTAAGGTAGTGTTAGTGATGTTGTACCTGCGATCGTCCAGGAATTAAGCAAGAGGCAACTATACAGTTAGTCCAATAAAAGATATTACTTTAAGAAATCCTTGTCTCTTACTGTAAAAAGTAACGTTTTAAAATCTAAATTGAGATCTGATATTAAACTCCTTGGGCAGGGATCATTATTTCTTTATTTGTACTACTAAGTATTTGCCATAATTGGCATAAATGAAAGGTGTGGGAGGAGAAACCTTGTCTTATCTAGATGAATTGGGGACTTAGAAGTGGGGGGCTGTCTCCCATATGCCAGGTTAGTGCTTAAATAATAACATGGGAAAGTTTGCTTTATATCTCCTTGTCGTGGAGTTAACTTTCTCCTTTCCAGCAGCAGGACTTTGGGGATCTCACAAGGAGTCATGTAGCTGGTTGTAATTATATGAGAACAACTGGGGATTCTGCATGGTCTGTTTCTGGCAGTAATACAGTGATGGACAAAACCATCTTCCTTCTTTTCTTCCTGCCAGCACTAAATAGCAAGGGGTACACTGAAAAAATGGTCAAGTGATATTTTTTGTTTGGCTTCTGACTCCTTTTGCAGCTTTATGAGTTCTCTATCTCTGTTCTAGCAGCTACATAGTCTAAAAAAGATGACGTTGGGAGAGTAGCATGTCAAGAAAGGATTGTTTGCATGTTACTACATGTAAAGTAGACTTTTCGTGTAGTGAGCGGTATCTGCTAAAGAAATATGCATACGAAGAATCAAATAGACGAGGAAGTTTTATGTGGTCTGTTGCTACACAGCAGTTTTTAGGCTCCTTACGTGGAAGACAAGACTCGAGTCAGTGGTCATCTTATATATATGGCAGTGGTTGTCTTTGGTAGGAATGTAGAAGAGATAGCGACATAAAGGTCTTATACCCTACAAAACAGACTTGATATTAGCTAATTTTAAGTTTATATCATGCTTGGGGGAAGGGCTGCCAAATTGTCAGCCCAAAGGCCATGTGCAGCATGTGAGGGGTTAATCTGTTGCCTTCAGGCTTCCATTTGGTTCCCTTCTCCCCATCACCCTGGCCACAAGAGCAGCCAAGGGCATGGCATTTCCTTCCGGATTCTCAGGGGGAAGTATAGCGTAGTAGGTGCAGCCTGTGGCTGGTGAACTGGCCAGGTGGTGTGGGGTGCTGCATACTTGGAGGGGTGTACTGTCTACCTAGGTGCACAGTGTAGCGCAAAGAGCTGCTTAAGCACACGGTGCCGTAGGGAGAGGTGCAGGGGGGCTGTGGCCCCCAGCCACAGAAGTGGGACAGCCCTGCATTAAGATTATGTGAGGTAATTAGCGCCCCCCCCTTTTTTTTAAATTATTTTTTAAGTTCATGTCCTTGCTACCAGCTTCCCTGTCTGAGCATCTTCACAGTCAGATCTCTTTGGGTTTTTTATTTACCAAAACAATGTTATCCACAGTCAGCACTGCCGAGCACAGCCAGCTGTAGGACACAGCTGTCCAACTGGGCTCTGCCCAGCTGTTGCTCTCCCCATTGCTCCAGCTGCCACAGGGTCTTCTGGCTTGTGCTGCCTGGCTGTGCCCCAGGGTCGCAGCAGTGCAGCACAGCGCACGGGAGCCCTGGAAGCTGAGCTGGAAGTGGCAGGTGCACAGTGTAACAGTGGGAGTGGGTGCATGTATGTGGTGTGGGGAAGGGAGGCAACTGGCCTGGCCATTTGTGGCCTAGCAGGTGGCACTGCGCTGCAGCCCACAGGTGTGTGGTCCATGGAACATTTGGCCCCTGGCTGGTTAGAAGTTGGACAGCCCTGCAATAGAAGAACAAGCTGGAGTCTGTGCATCAGGAGGAAGGAAATAATTAAAACTGCAAGTAAGGGTCATTCTTGAAACTCTTGTTCATATACAAAGCTGAAAGAACTGACTCTGGCTTCTAATGAATTGGGGGTGTTGGGCACTGTGGACAGTTTAAAAAAAATAGCCTTTTGCTTTGAGTTATAAATGGTGCAAAAAAAATTTTGAGGTCGGTCTTTTTAGAGCTGATTATATTGTCTTTAATATTTTATAATAGCCCCTAAAAGTCCCTGAGGTAACATACTGTAGTCATCAAGCTGCAAACTTCAAATTTATTTTTTCCTTACAAGAAAAGTGTTTGTTAGCAGAAAAAATGTTTAAAAAATATTCAGATTGTATAAGCCATGAAGTGCTGACTGTCAAGAAACTATTGGTTGTTTGGTATGCTTTTTGCTTCCAGCTTTTATTAAATTGCATAGACCAATCTAATTGGAATTTAAGTTTCTGTAATAAAGGTAGGCTTATTAATAATAAAAACACTTTATATCATCCATCACAAATTTGGCAGCCTTGTGTTCATTTTTTTTTTTAAAGTTGGGTATATTTGTAAAAGTTCGCACTGGAAACTTGCTCTAGTATTGTTTATTGTGTTCAAATTAGTGCAACTGGAAAAAAAAAAGCATTGAAATATTAATTGCAAAACTATAAGGAAAAAATGGATTTTCTTATCCAGATACTTAGATTCTTTTTTCTTTTTTCAAGTATCATGATCGCCTTTCCAGCCCTGCTATTGGAATGTGCGTTCATATGGCCAGGCTATTTGTTGGTAGGCCTTTTGGATTTTGACTAGCCAGGTTTCAGTGTTTTGTACTGGAGCAGTCTGATGCAGTATCTGAAACTTATCTTTTTGTCAGTTTGGTGTCAGTAACTGCATCTCCCACTGCCAGAGAAAAGCTGGTTTCCATTATCTCGTGAATGAGGACCTCCCAAGAGTAATCTATGAAGTCGCGTGGTAAAAGGAGTCCACTTCTAGACTGGACTATTGCATTCCGTTCTGCTTTAGCTTGAACCAAGTGCCCAATGAGTAATTTGGTTTATCCAGCATACAGCTGCCTTTCTTTTGCATGGAATGAGCCGAAGTGGGTATATAACATAATTATTTTCTGCTTTGACTTGCCTTTTGGTCTCAGACTTCGGAGTCATTTATTGTCTGAGCATAGATTAACTTCAGGAACAGGCTTATTATTCTGTCTCCAAAACAACTGTGTTAATTTGCTAATATGGTCTCTGTGGGATCCCAAGATATGAAACAGGCCATGAAGGGAGTTGGTGCATGCGCTTCTCAGACCAGTTTTTGATCCCCATGTAAAACTTACGATTTAATACCAAAACACAGGAATGTGAGAAATAAATAGTTTACCCAACAAACATCCTTGGTTAATTATTCGGTCCACCTATTGTACTATGTTTAGTACACAGATGCTGTAGTGATTGCTCTTTAAGGGCTCATACACACATTCAGGGAGGCTACTCCAGCGCACTGTAATTGCAGCACGTTGGAGCAGACTTGATTAATCAAGTCTGCTGGAGCACGGGAATTACCATGCTCCAGCAGACTCCGGTGTCATGTGTAAAGCTCGTTTGACCTTTAGTTAGTTAGTTCCCCTGCTGCCATTTTTCAGCATGGGGACACGGATGCACGTGATGCTCCGCGTGCTTTAATTACAGTGCTGCCCCCCCGGGACCTCATGGAGCACGTCTGTAAATGCCCTAAACGTCCAAGGTAAACTAGCACACTATAATGAGAAGAAAGGAAGTATACCAGAGAGAAGTTATGTTCAAGGAATTATGTTCTTAAGATAGCTAAATTGGTTTGAGGAAACAGCATAAGTGCTGGTAAAGCTGTAAAGTGCTTGTAGTAGAGCTGTGAAGAATAGCTAAAGATTTCAAGCCTGAGCAGTAGTTAGTTTTTTCAAATGGCGTCCATCCTGTGGACTGGGAGTACATTCTTACAAACTGAGTGCTTCATGCCCTGGATTTCTCTAAAACCAGTGCTGCCCCCCACCTGCAGCTCATCCATGCTTGCCTTCAGGAAATGTCTGTAAAAACAGGTCTTATTATAAGGTAGGAAGATCAACAGATCTGTGCTGAAGTGAACAGGAACAGGAAGTGCATTCCAGAGTTAAAAACCATTCGCTGAGAGTGCTTGTTGTTCCCTTTGGTTTGATCCAGGATGCTGCTAGCATGATTACCTCGGATAATCTCCGTTATTGTAACGTTGCATGTGTACTAAAGTCTTTGTGCCAATACATTTTTTTTTTTCATGCTGTAATTTTCTTTAGCAAAATTGATAAAACTTGTGGACTGTGGTAAATATATCTTCAGTGCTACTTATGTAATTTCTCTGTTTGTTTGGCACATTGCTCTGTAGAGTCAGGGGTTTCTCCCAGTCTTTCACGGTTAACAGTAAAGCCTACTAGAAACTGTCTTTTCCGATTAACTTCTAAAGTGGAAAGTGGGTCTATTTCGGATCTTGTTCATAAAGGCAAACGTTTGATTGTATGGACTCCTTTTTGTATTACTGACCTTTATGTGAATTTCCTTTGTCCCTATGGATCAGGAATGTTATTAGAATGAAACATGTATTGCGTGATGCGCTAATCAGATTGCAAATAATCATTTACTTTAAGGACTCTTGTAACAAAAGAAAAACTGATTTGTACAGATCAGTGTTGCTCAGCCTTCTGGTCCTGGGGATTGGATGAGTAGTGTGGGGCTGGATCTGGCATGCTGGATCTGGTTGTGGAGAGACCCATGTGTGCTGGACCTAGCTGTGGGGCAGACGCTTGCACTGTAGTAATGTGGCACGCCAGGCTGTCATCCAGCCTGCAGGGCTGTCAACGGGTGTTGGAATTTGGCAATGGGGGAGCGGTACCAGTGTTAATGGCTCTGGCTCAGAAGCCACCACTGATGCAGACAGTGGGCAGTTCCTTGGTTTAAGGGGTTTTTTTGATGCTTCACGTGATAAACTTCTTCTCCTGCTATGAGAGATTGAGTAGGTAACTCCCTCAATATCTTAATGTAAGAAATTTGGAAACAGTGGGTTTTTTGTTTGTTTGTTTTCAGTTGTGTTGATTGGAGACTCTGGGGTTGGGAAGAGTAATCTCCTCTCACGTTTCACACGCAATGAGTTCAACCTGGAGAGTAAGAGCACCATTGGGGTGGAATTTGCCACCAGGAGCATCCAGGTGGATGGGAAGACGATAAAAGCACAGATCTGGGACACTGCAGGGCAGGAACGATACCGTGCCATCACCTCAGCGTAAGCACTACTTTGCACCACATTTTCTTTCTTTCATTCTTTCTTTTCAGGTTGCTAGCACCACTTCTACTATTGGTAGTGATGCTTGAAAAAAGATCTCAGGTTTAAAGCCACACCCCTAATCTGCCTGCATCATAAAGGGAATAGTTTTAAGTCTTGACAAGATCTAGACGGATGCAAAGAAGAACTTTTAAAAGTCTCATTCCAACAAAGCAAAAGTAGCTTGTTTCTTTATTTCTTTCCTTTTTTTTCCTCCCATGAGGTAAATCTGAAATCCCAAAAAATTCTTACTCTTTTGCTGCCTTGATGAGTTGCCTTCAAACCATGAATGTTTATATTATTGGTCTCCATTAGGGATGTAAATATCTTTTTTTTTTTTTTTTTTTTTTTTTTTGTTCTTCTTCAAACCTATCCCTTTAACCTCCTTTAATTAAATGGTTAACTGATAGCACATGCCTAGTTTAGTGACATCTAGCAGGATGGCCGTGGCCCCAGCCACTTATGTCTTCACTGTGTGCCCAGTGCTGTGCGGGCCCTACACCGCTGGCGTGGAGCCGTGGGCTGGGGGTGGCAAATGTGGCCGACTTGCTAGGGGGTACTGCCCAGCTGAGGAGCTGCAGCTTCCCCTCGCTCTCATGGGCAGGGGTTGTGGCTGTGGACCTCACCTGTGGCCAGATCCCAAGGAGAGGGAGGGAGGTGCTGGGACCCCCCGGGGGTTGCACAGGGCCTTCCTGCCACAGTAGCGAGACTCCCAAGCCCACCGCAGCAGCGGGGCCCAGGCTAGATGACGGGCTCCCTGTGCCTCCTGCTACATTCATGCCACTGTGGCCCTGACCTGGGGGGCTCCTCTATGCTGCTGGGCCAGGCCCTCCCTAGGCAAGCCGGAGTCTGGTCCCAGTGGGGCAGCATCCACAGGGTGCACTGCATCCTTCCCCTTCCTGCTGCTGGCACTGGGGCCACATGGGGTCTGATCCAGCCCTGCGATGGGTCTGAGCACATGGCTGGCTCCACCTGAGGAGGTGTCATGGCAGCTGCAGTGGGTGACGCTAGGTGTAAGGGGTTGCTGCCAGCCCCTCATGTGGTGACTGCAGCCCCTGGGTGTTCCTGAGGCTCCTGTTGCAGCCCTGATGCTCCCTCCAGGATCCCTGTTGTGCAGCCCTGCTATGCACTGCCCCCCAGGAATGTCCTGGACCGTGGCGGCATAAACATGGCAGGAGGTGTGGGTAGCTGGTCACCTTGCCATGGCCCCACTGCTGTGGGGGAGCCAGGCAGACCTTCTGTGGGATTGGGAGTCCTGCTGCTGCAGTAGGAAGGCCCTGGCTGACCCCTGTGGGAGGGACCAGCACCTCCCTCCCTCCCTGTGGTGGTGGGATCTGGGTGCAGGAGAAGTCTGCAACCCCAGCCCATTTGTGGGGACACAGGGAAGTTGCAGCTGGGCAGCACTTGGCTCTGCTGCACCCGCTGCCCCTGCCTGTGGCTCCTTGCAGCAGTTTGGGGCCCACACAATGCTGGGCACGTGGAGAAGACATAAGGGGCTGGGGTCATTCCTGGTGGAAATCACTAAAAGGTAAGTGGCATATGGTATAAACATAATTGTTGTTTTAACCATTTACATCCCTACTCTCTGTTAATAAATGGGTGTTGTATCATCTGGTTCTGATGTTTGGCCAAAAAACTTTTAAAAGGTGGGGATTTGACTATCCAACTTGATTCTTGTGTCTGATTGTTAGGGTTATTGAGCAACCACAAATGTGTTTTTAAGTCTTTGGGACTATGATTGTACAGTACCTCTGATAATTAGAGGTGCACAGATGCATCAGTCCATATCTTATGAGCACAGATAAAAGGAAAAAAGACATTATCAGCAATCGGCTTTTTTTTTTTTTTTTTTTTTTTTTTGGCCGATGTGGCTGATAATATTGGCGATTTTAAATGCCACATGCATGTGGCCAGGAGTGCAGTCTGGCAGCTTGGAGAGCCAGTAAGTCTGTGGAGGAGGGAAGGGGCATGGCGGGGGCAGATCGAGGTCCCCCCGTGAGAGAAGGAGTGGGGCTGTCGCAGGTGCTGCCTTAGCTGGGCATGGGATGGAGTCACGAGCGGCGTGTTTTGGGGGGGGGGGGGTTGGGGGGGCTTCTGCCACTGTGTGCACCCCTGAGGGAGACACGGGGAACGTGTGCCCTCCAGATCTGTGCGTGGGGTGAGGGTGGGCTGCTGCTGAGGCTGGGAGTGCTGCTGGGCTCTTCCTGGTGGGGGGGGTTGGGTCAGGGTAGGCGGCGGTGCTGGCAAGGGACGAATCGTGGGGGCTCTGGCTAATTCCAGGGTGTCTGCAGCCCACCTTGTACCCCAGTCCGCAGCAGCAGTGGCAGACTGCCCTCATCCCGCACACTTATCCGAGGGCACACATACCTTATTCCTTCCCTGGGAGTCTGCACAGTGGCAGG